AGAAATCTATGAACTGCATGATACACTCCAAACTTAACTGATATATGAAGTTTATAAATAGAAACTAGTGTTCTAAGATATGTTTGTTCTAAGATATGTTTGCTAAGATATCTAGTGTTTTAAGATATGTTTGCTTCTTTTATTAGGTTGTTGGCAACACCACATCTGGCTGTTTCAGCTACAGTGCTCAGAGGAGTCTGGCTTTTGCATATGTTCCCACAGAACTCAGCAAAGTTGGACAGAATTTGGAAGTTGAACTTTTAGGAAAAAATTATTCAGCGACTATTGTACAAGAGCCACTGGTGCTGACTGAACCGACGAGAAGCCGCCTTCAGAGAAAGGGTTGAAGTCCCAAAGCATAAACAGAGATGATGGGAACAGGAAGTTGTATAATAGAAATCTATCCATTTATACCCGTGAAATTAAGAAAATGAAACTACTCATATTCATTAATCACTAAGTTCATGATCTTCATTGCCACATTAATGAGGGATTTTATGCTGTCACCCATTTGCTTCCTTGTATCTGGCCTATTCACATCAGAGATGTGAGCAAAGTTAATGAAGGGCTGTGCATTGCTCCTTCTGTGATGTAAGCAGAAAGTGTCTGGGAATGAGGGGCTCCTCCTTTCCACTTGCCCACACACTGTCCAGAAGATCAGAGCTGTGACTGAGGAGAAAGTTGTTCTTGGTGTTGGCCAAGAGCAAATTCTTTCTCCTTGAGACATAGTTCTTCCCTTGCCTGCCTTTGTAGTCAAGTACTTTTGCCCCATGATGTTGCTTATCATTAAAATTTCACTAGCTCAGCACAGAATAGCTCTCTAAAAGTACTGAAATAAATTTCAACTTTTGTTAAAAAATAATTAAAGGGAAACTCAACTTCCAACATTCCTTCCCAAGGTGTTATCCCTGCAGAAATTCTGACAGAAGATCAACATTTAGTTCTTTCTAAATAAATATTTAGAGGAAACCTATTCTTCACAATCATTATTTTGTATGGATCTTCTAGTTAATATATTGCATGTAATATTTTACAACACATTTTCTGGACAGAAATAAAAAGTATTGCAAAATAGTGATGGTCTAAATCTGAAGATCCAGACCCTTAAGAACTGTTCATCCTTTTCCTGTTAGCAGTAAGAACCATGTGTTGTTACACAGAAATATTGACAAATATATAATTAAAATCACAGTAGAGGGGTTTTTTTTTATGTTAAGTATTTGATAACCTGAAAAAGCAGGGTTAGGTTGATATAAACAACAGGTAAACAAGAAATAGTTAAAATGCGCTTATCAATTCCACAATATCTCAACAGATCTTCTCAATGACAACAAGGTCACAATTCCCATTTACAGAGAATACGCTTATTGTTAGGCTACAATTAATCCTTTTCTACAGTCAGTTTGAATGATGAGTAATGAGTAGATTGACTAGTGAGAGTGTTGTGGAGTGTACGGTGCAGTAACGGTTACACTGAGGCAGGTTCTTGCATCCACTTTCCCAGTAGGTTTTGCTAATAGCGAAACACGTGGCCAGCAGTGGCGGAGGCCACCTCAGTCTCCTTGGTGGCTTCCACATTCCTCTGAGGGTGCTAGAAGCAGATTTCTTTTCCAGCTTGGAAGAAAGAAGCTACTCATTAACACGTTGACCAGGGCAGACAAACTGCGCAGAAAGGGCAGGATTTCTGAAGCCTGTGCAAAAGATAAGGAATCACACATATAATTCCAACATTGAGGTGAGCTCAGAAACTACATCCTCGATGTGCTTGTGGCACATTTCCAACTGTGACCTCGCAACCACTTATTTTCTCTCTCTATGCCAATTTGGATGACCTGTCCCATTAAAAATACAATATTCATAGATAACAGGAACATGGGACTGATGGAAAAAAAAAAAAAAAAAACAGTTAAAAAATACTTGTATTCAGTAAGGCATTTGGGAGTATGTTTTAGTTTAGGTATGTGCACAAGGTTAACAAGCATGCAAGGGATTCCTTGTATTGAGGATCAGACTGGAAACATGACCGTGAAAATTGAGGAGCAGTGCTGTGTGTACGCTGGGAATACAGGTACAGATATAAGGAGAAGAGACCTAAGCACTGATTTGCCATGGGCTTCTCATTGACAGCTATTGTCAGTCAAGGCCGGTCAAAATTGAGCTATGGATACTTCGTTTTTATTCAACATTTAAAGAATTGGACAAAAAAGACACACATTTTGGGGGGAAAGGTGATACAAAGTAAGGTAAATTTACTGCACCCCACTTGTAAGACCAGAACAACTTCATATTCTTTACTGACTATAAATATGACAAATTGGGTGTCTGACAACTTGTAGCAGTTTGTAATGTCTTAGGAGTGACTGTGCTTTATGTTTAACAGCGCACTGAGGAGTAGAGATACCTGAAGGAGTTTTGATGAAGCAGGGCTGAGTGTTAGAAGCACTTGAGCTGTGTGGTAGCCATGTCTCTGCTTGGGCTTCCGAGTTCACCCACCCTCTCTTTTATTACTCCGATACCCAAGCCATCTTATCCTTAATTTATTAGGATAGCTATTAGGATTGCAAAACATGGCACAGTTTGCTTCTTCTAAGGGGAAGAAAGGTGACAAATAATTCCCACAGAGAGGTTCATATGTACAGAGAGGTTCAATTCCTCATGGTTATAAAATTAAAAATACAAACCTGAAGAAAATGGTGGGGGTACTTGGCAGGGGTTTTTTTTGTATGTGGTTTCCTGATACTATTTCTTCTCATGGTACGTTGTGATATAATGTTGCATAACCTCATGGTGTCAAGATGCAGCTAGAGGAAGTGAATAAACAAGAATGTTGAAGCAGTATGTGCCTGTTGTAAGAGGGCTTCCAACCAGCCAAGCCCAAATTAAATGGTCAAAATGCAGACAGGAACATTCTGCAATAAAACCTTGAAGAAAATACGACAGCAGAAACATCTAGACTACAGCCGTGCAAATAAGTTATATTTGCTGTGTATGTTTTATAGATGGTTTGATTTAGTGTTATAACTCTTAACAACTCAAGTAACCAGGTTATCTTACTCTGTTGAGCAGGATAAATAGCAAATAACTCTTGACAGTCTTCTAAAAGGGGATATGAGTTCAGCAGCGCTTGAACACTGTGATGATTTTGAAACCATGCCAGCTGAATAGATATAATTAATTTGATCATAAAATTTATATCAAATATTTCTGTTTCTATCAGCACTGTGTAGAGTTTCAAGGTAATTATTTTGAATGAACAAGAATTGTTTCCATGGGAATGCGCTAACGTTTGAATAGAATTTTACATATAATGAGGACATGGAAGGAGTTGGTAAAATACATAATTCAGAGACAACTGTGACTGGTGACTGATTAGAACTAAAAATAAGGTAAGATGGAAGTTTCCAGTCTTTTGAATAGTGTGAATCACATCTCAACAAAGAAAATCTAACTCATAGCTTAGCAGTAATGGAATTCAGGGAAAACTGACTTTAGGAGATATTATTGCTTCTTGCTCTGATACCAGTGTCCTATTTATTTGACTCCTCAAGGTATTATAAATCAGTCATCTGATTTACACCGAATTATCATAATACAACTGTGTGTTTGTGACAATCAGGATAAATTAATTGCCTCTTGGAGGAATATTCGTCCTGTAACTTCCTAATATGGAGGTAGCACAGTTTGTAAGTAGAGAGCTGGAAACTTGATAGGCTTCTCCTTCATTCATAGGAGCAAGAATCTTCTTTCCATGGAAACTTGTCAGTCCAAAGAACAGCAAATAGGAATCTGGCATGTTTAGTCTTTGCCTTTATTTACTGATAAATAGTATTTTTAATGTGGATTTTTTCACTTGTCACCATATGACTATATAAATTTGTGAATGTACATCCATACCATTCCAGGTAAATGTTAAACATATGATTAATGGATATTTAAAGAGACACATTCATATGTACTCCTTGGATGAATGCAAGGGAGTAGAGGTGACAGTTACTTCTGTCATTTCGCAGTACTCACTCTTAGGTTTTACATCAAGATTATCATTAGGTTAGTAGTTTTTATGACACTGCCTTAGAAGATTACATGGGCTGAAGAAACAGCTTTGGGTTGCTTCAGTTCCTTCCTGCTCCTAACAGTCCCCAGCAATATTTTACTGCCGGAGCTACATCAAGCCGCTCGTCCATATAACCAAAATTATATTCCAGCATCCTCAGGAAAAAAAGTCACCGTGATTTGGTTGACGGGGATGGGCAGGGAAAGGACCAGAGCGGCAGCAGGCCTGGTAGGAGTGGGAAGAGAGGGGCCAAGCGCCCACCACTGCAGAAGGAGCTGCCATCCTGGGCCCTTCCGCTGCCCTCTCCGCGGCCGCCTGTCCTTCCAGGGCTGCAGCACAGCTGGAAGCAGCAAGAGCAGCAGTTTTCCTCGCAGCTACCAGCGTGGGCTGCCCCACCTCGCTGAGGCATCAAGCAAACTCTGTATAATCTAGAGTCTCGGTTAGTCAACAAGTCTGTTGACTTCTATGGAAGCAAGAATGTCTTGAAATAAAAGCCCCTGGGTGGTTCTGTGGTTCCGGAAAAGCTCCACCGTCTCCAACGGGTGTTGTAGTGTGGGAGTGAAAGGAAGATAAGAACCCAGGAGAACTCCAGCATCACTGCACTGAATGCTCCGGTATCGCAGGCAACAACTTTACAAGCCCATTCATTATTATTAATTATTCCTTTATTAAATGCATCAATTTAAACCGCGCGGTTTAAATTGCAGCCCGCAGGACACAACCTCCCGCCTGGGAGCGCTGGGAGGCCTGAGGCCTTAGTCCCGCGCGCGGCCTCGGGAGCGCGAGGACGAGCGCCGGGCCGGGCCGGGCCGGGCCGGGCGGAGCCGGGGCGCCCTCCGCG